TTTTGCGGGGAAGGCCACGCCCCAAAAAAAAAAACCCCCAAAAAAAAAAAAAAAAAAAAAACCATGCCAGGCGCATGTGTGGGTGTACCCAAAATCCTGGGAAGAGAATGGAGGAGAAGGGATTGCAGCGTGGCCATCTCCCCAGGTCATGATTTCTTGCTTTCTGTCTCTTTGTCTCTCTTTCTCCGGCAAGCACACATGCCATATAGCAAAAATTTCTCTAAAAAATATTAATAGGGGACAACAGATGATGTGGTGGTTAAAGGTGCTGGACTCCCACATGGCCAACTATGGTTTGAGTCCCAGATCTGGTGACTTGCTTTCTCACTTTCTCCCTCACTCTCACTCTGTTCCTTTCTGGTCAAATTAAAATAAATAAATGAATGAATGAATAAATAAATAAAGTTAAATAAGATGGTTCTTTAAAAATAACTTAAAAATTGGGACCAGCAGCTGGTATAATGGCTATATTGCTGGACTCCCATGTAGTTGACTGCAGTTCGCGTCCCGGAACCAGTGGCTTTAACTCACGATGGGCGAGTGTGCGTGCTTGCCCAAGATCCCGAGAGGAGAATGGAGGAGAAGAGATTGTGGCGTGGCCATCTCCCCGGGAGTGATTTCTCGCTTTCTGTCTCTCTGTCTCTCTGTGTCTTTCTGGTGAGCACACGTGCCTTATAGGAAAAACCTCTCCAAAAATAAAATAAAATAATAATAAAAAAATTTAGGAACAAAATAGCTTCTGATTTAATTCTCGTATCTTCTTTTTCTTTTTCTTCTTTTAGAGTTTTTTTGCTATAGGGTGTATGCAATTGCCAGAGAGATAGAAAGAGACAGAAAATGAGAAATCACCCTCTAGGGGAATGTCAACACAGCAAGCCCTTCTCCTCCAGTCTTCTCTCTGGATTTTGGGCATGCACACACATGAATCTGGTGTGAATTTCAAGCCTCTGGGTTCAGAACTCAAACCATGATTGACCATGTGGGAGTCCAGCGATGTAACCATTATGCTATCTGCTGGTCCCTAATTCTCTTGCTTTCTACTTAGTAAACAACTAATTCAGCAAATAAGGACAAATCCAGCAAATGATTTTTGGTGTGATTTTCTTGTTTATTAAATAAATCTTTTTTTATATAAAGATTATTTATTTTATTTTATTTTATTTAGTCATTTGTTTATTTTAATTTGACCAGAGAGAGACAGAGAGGGAGAAGAAGTGAGAAAGCAAGCCACCAGATTCAGGACTTGAACCATGGTCGGCCATGTGGGAGTGTCCAGCGTCTTAACCACCATGCCACCTGCTGGTCCCATTTATTCAATAAATCTTTTTGAGTGCCATTTTTATGCTTTTTCACTTTCTCTCTCTGTCTCGCTCTTTCTCTCTCTCTCTCTCTCCCTCTCTGATCAAATTAAAAAAAATAAAGTTAAATAAAAGAATTCTTTTAAAAAATGGAATTCAACAGGGAGGCTGGTAGGTGGCATGGTGGTTGAGGCACTGGACTGTCACATAGCTGACCGCAGTTCAAGTCCCAGACCTGGTTACCTTCTTTCTCACTTTCCCTTTCTCTCTAGCTCTGTCTCTCTCCGGTCAAATTGAAAATAACAACAACGACAACAAAATAAAATAAGTAAATAATTTAAAAAATTATTCACCAGGAGAAGTGAATAAAATAAGGCAGGACCTTTTAGGCAAAAGAGAGTCTGGAGAATCAGAATAGTAGGTCTGTCTGGAGCAGTGAGGGAGCATAAGGGAGGAGGCGATTGGGAAGGAGGAAGATTCCAGATAATGAAGGATCTATGAACTGCTAAAGACTATATTCTTTATTAAGTTTATAGCTAAGTTCAAAAATATCCCAGTTGGGAACCAGCAGTTAGCATAATGGCTATGTCGCTGGACTCCCACGTAGTCGACTGCAGTTCGCATCCCGGACCCGGTGGCTTAAAACTCACGCCGGGCACATGTGCGTGTGTGCCCAAGATCCCAAGAGGAGAATGGAGGAGAAGGGAGTGCGGCATGACCATCCCCTCTGGAGGGTGATTTCTCGCTTTCTGTCTCTATGTCTCTCTCTGTCTGTCTGATGAGCTCATGTGTCCTATAGCGAAAACCTCTCCCCAAAAAAAAAAAAAAAATAATCCCAGTCAAGGGGCCAGCAGGGGGGGTGGTGGTGGGGGGGTTGGATTCCCACTTGGCCAGCCATGGTTCAAGTCCTTGACTGAGTGGCTTGAAAATCATGACAAAAAAAAACAAATAAATACATTTATTTATAAATAGATAAAACACACAGACACATATGTAGATATATGTGTCAAAAGGCTATCTATTGAACCTCTGATGTGAGGGGATACATAGATGGCTATGAATTAGTGCTTTTCTTCAAGTCCAAACTGGAAGAGAACGCACATAGTTAGGGGTCAATGCATAAGGAATAAAGGAACTGCATATGTAAGGTAAGTCAATCAGTAGGAATGAGTAACAGTACTTAGATCTAAATTAGAGAAGGCAACAAACAGTCAAATTTGTTAAGAAAAAAGGCTAAAATAAACCATAAAGGAAAACTGAGCTAAGTAAATAAGGTAGCTCCGGAGAGGCACAGCCCTGTCGGTTTGTTTTCTTCCTTGAGGCGTCAATGGCACATGGCAATCTCCTGCTGTTTTCCTTACCAAGACCTAAAGGAGTTTCTGGTTTTGTACTACAAGCAGGTGGGAAATAGGATTTGTTTTAAGGGAATTTGAATGAACTCATACTTCTTTTAAAAAGTTATTGGGGCCAGGGAACCAGCAGTTAGTGTAATGGCTATGTCGCTGGACTCCCACGTAGTTGACCGCGGTTTGCGTCCCGGACCCAGTGGCTTAAAACTCATGCCGGGCGCGTGTGCGTGTGTGCCCAAGATCCCGAGAGGAGAATGGAGAAGGGATTGCGGCGTGACCATCCCCCCTGGGGGGGTGATTTCTCGCTTTCTGTCTCTAATGTCTCTGTCTGGTGAGCGCACGTGCCCTATACCGAAAATCTCTCAAAAAAAAAAAATTAAGAAGTTATTGGGGCCAGCAGGTGGCAAGATGGTTAAGGGTGCTGGACTTCCACATGACTGACTGTGGTTCAAATTCCAGACCTGGTGGATTGATTTCTCACTTTCTCTTTCTCTGTCCCTCTCTGGGCAAATTAAAATAAATAAACAAATAAATTAATTAAATTAAATAATTCTAAAAAGGAAATTATTATATCAATCTAGCATTGTTCTCCAGTTCTTAAAAAAGATAGAAAGTAAAAACATCATAGTAACAAGTGTAAGTCACCTTTGAGATTTCCTCTATATGTAAGGAGCTTGTCTTCAATCATTGTCAAGTAGCAGAAATGGACAACTAATAGAAATGGTAAAACCTCCTACCTGGGCTCATTTCAGAAGTTTTATATATGGATTTAACTAGATAATCTCAAACAATAGGCTGTAGAATTCTGTTAGGTGACCAACTTGTAAAGAAAGCAGGTTTAGGGAACCAGTAGTTAGCATAATGGCTGTGTCGCTGAACTCCCATGTAGTTGACTGCGGTTTGCGTCCCGGACCTGGTGGCTTAAAACTCACACCTGGCGCGTGTGCGTGCATGCCCAAGATCCCGAGAGGAGAATGGAGGAGAAGGGATTGCGGTGTGACCATCTCTCCTAGGGGGTGATTTCTTGCTTTCTGTCTCTATGTCTCTCTCTCTCTGTCTGGCGAGCGCATGCACCCTATGGCGAAAACCTCTCCAAAAAGAAAAAAAGAAAGCAGGTTTATAGTATTCAGGACACACTGAGTCAGTGAATCAGTCTCTAGACTTTGAGTCCAATCCAGAGAGAAATGAATGCAGACATTCCTTTGTTTATATGCCTGAAACTCTGTTATGGCTTTCATCCTTACAGCCAACAAACCACCTGCCAAGCCGTGACCCGGAAGGCCTTCATCCAAGGGGAGTTCCAAAAGATCAAGCACATAGTGATGGATGAGACTGAGAATTTCTGCAGTAAATATGGCGATTGGTATACAAAAGCGAAGAACATCACCCATCCAAAGGTGAGAGTGGCTGGAAGTGAAAACCATCACGGGATTCTTTGGCTTTTTCTGGACCCTTTCCAAGTCCATCATGCTGATGTCAATGGCCTTCCCCCTCTCTCTGCTCAGTTTCCTCGAAAGACAATCACCAATGGGATCCACTGTGCTCTGGAAATAGCAACGGTCATAAAAGAAGAAATAAAGAGGATCAAAGAAAATCCTCCCTGCAGCATGTCTGTGGACACACTGGCATTGTTCCAGGAAGCTGCCTATGACGAAGCAATGTGTGCCCAGGCTTTGCCTGGAGTGTGTGAGACAAAGACCAACCTGACAGCAGAACAGATAGTAAACTATGTGGCAGAAAGATGTCACACCCTGCTCCAATGTGGCTATCTGCCCAAAGATATAGCGATTCTGTGCAGGAGAGAGGAGGACAGAGCTCGCTACAAGCTTGCACTACTAAGAGCGATGCAATTAATCGAGACCCACGGAGCATCAGAGATGGTGTTTAGCCAGGCTGAGGGTGTTCGGAGCAGACACATTGTTTTAGACAGCATTCAGCAGTTTTCAGGCCTGGAAAGCAATATTGTGTTTGGGATTAGTCCAGAATGTGCCCAGTCAGAGGAATTTCATAAGTTCTGTTTTGCCTCAAAAGCCATTAAACACCTCTACTTGCTTTATGAAAGGAGGGTGGCCTTCTAAAATTAGTAAAAGTGGTAAAGAAACCAGAAAGAGCAGTCCCTTCTTCTACACAGGTGCATCGCCTCCTTTTTAATATTGGAAGAAAGTCAAGGCACATCTGTATGGTCTGGAGTCACAGAAATATCCCTGGGAGCTTTCCTTTCCACTTCGTTTGCAGTGCCACTGTCCTTTTCCCATCCATCTCACCTCTTGCTGAACAATTACAGCAGACTTCTAATTGGTCCCCTGCCTCCAGTTTTCCTAGCCCAATTCAAATTTCATCCTGTCAACCAGATAGCTTCTCATCACATAGAGAACCAATTTTATGAATTATTCTACTAATGGACCTCACAGCCTTCAAGCAAAACCATTTTCCAAGTCTTTCTACATTGTGCCCTGACTTACTTTCCTAACTGCATCATCCATTAAACCTCTGTCTACCACTGTTTCTAATGCATCTCAGCCTCACTGGTCTGTTTTTTTTTAGGTGGTGGGAGGGTGCCCTCCAGATGAGTTACTTTTGCCAGGAATCTTGGGGACAGCATTCTGGCTGCAATTCATGCATTTCATTGTGAGTCTCAAGTTTTACAGGTCTAGAGGTGATTTCCTCTTTGAATAAATTCTAGATCAGTTTCCTAGGGATGGTTTTATGCCAAAAAAGCTCGTAAAAAAACAAATGCATAGCGACCAGCAGGTGGTGAGGTGGTTAAGGTGCTGGATACTCCCACATGGCCAACCACAGTTTGAGTTCTGGAACTGGCGGCTTGCTTTCTCACTCTTTTTCTCTCTCTGTCTCTCTCTGGTCAAATTAAAATAAATGAATGAATACATAAAAAAATTAAATAATTATATTTAAAAATGCATAAATGAAAATATTGCTTTTAAGTTACAGTGAGGATTGTAGTAATAAGTGGGCTGGGTGATTTTGCCAATGAGTTTATCCAACAGTAACATAAAAATCCAAATTATATGAGCATAGTCTTGTAGTAAGGAGTGCTGGTAATCTGATTCAAACATAAAAATTCTTCAGACTGTATTAAACTCTTTCAGTATTTATCAAATAAGGTTGTAATGATCTCTAAGACAAAAGATATTTTCTTTTAAGCATTTAACTGCCGGAGGAAGACAAAGAGAGGAAGAGGGAGAAAGTACCCCCTCTTCCTATGGGGCGTGGTCATGCCACAGTCCCTTCTCCATTGTTCCATCACGTCGGGATTTTGGGCACACATGCACACACACTTTGTGATTTTTAAGTTTCTGGGACCAGGATTTGAACTGTGTTATAGGCCGTGTGGGATCCAGCTCCCTTAACCACAGGACACAGAACTAGTCTAGCTATAATTTCATATAAAGCCCTTAAGCCTTTCAAGATGTGGGAGAGCAGGCAGGGCTTGGAGAAGTTCTCAACTGCACCAGAGGGGCCATTCTGAACCTAGTGACCACCTATCCTGGACATGAATTGAACAGAAACTTTCTCCTACCTCTCACTCCTCCAATCACTCCATTTCCTCTTTACCTCCCTGTGGGGTTTAGAGTATTTTGAGTTGGAGAAAATTAACTTTAGCAATTTATTAGGTTTTTGTTGTTGTTGGTTTAGTGTATTAGTTCTGATGAAGCAAAAAATACAAGTGCATTCACTTTCTGATGTAGGGGGATGCGTGAATTCTATCAAAATCATTTAAAGAGTCAAAAGTATACGGGGGTGCTGGCAGGGTTGCATGGTGGTTAGGGTGCTGAACTCCCAGACAGCCAACTGTAGTTCGAGTCCCAAACCTGGCAACTTGCTTTCTCACTTTCCTTCTCTGGTGGGCACACGTGCCCTGTGGAAAGTTTTTAAAGATAAAAACAATAAATAAAATTAGACAGACTGCCCCTTTGGCTGTAGCAGCCAGCAGCCTGGTACATCTGAAGGCACTTGGTGAAGTCACGATGTGAGGCGCGCGACCTTTTCTTTATTCCTCTCTCTCCTCCTTTCTTTTCCCTTATATTATCTTCTCTTCTTCTTCCATCTTGCCAGAGGGAGTAACTAGGTCTAGAATCAGAGATCTGAAATTTTCTAGTCATATAACAATAAATAAAATAAAATAAAATAAATAATATGTTAAAAAAACTGCACGAGGTTAAGGGTACAGATTGGGTAGGACAGAACACTGCTATACAGTTCAGTTATAAGCCTCAGTACCTCTTAATTTTTAAAACTTTATGCATGTATTATATAATTTTTTCTCTTTTTTTGGAGAGGTTTTTGCTATCAGGCACGTGCTCTCGCCAGACAGACAGAGAGAAGCAGAAAGATAGAAAGTGAGAAATCACCCCCCCAGGGGGGATGGTCACGCGGCAATCCCTTCTCCTCCATTCTCCTCTTGGGATCTTGGGCACGCACGCCCATGCGCCTGGCGTGAGTTTAAGCCACTGGGTCCAGGACTCAAACTGTGGTCGACTACATGGGAGTCCAGCGACATAGCCATTATGCTAACTGCTGGCCCCAATAAGAGATTATTTTTAAAGTATATTTATTTTATTGATTATTATTATTTTTAAAATTTGCTGTAGGACATGTGCACTCACCAGAGAAAGATAGGCAGAGAGAGATAGAGAAAGTGAGAAAGCAAGCCACCATGTTAAATTTTACCTTTGAATTCTAAGTCAGACTAAGTTATATCTCAGGATTGTTAGGCAATTGTTCAAAACCACATAGAAACTGAAGAACTAGTGTATATGTGTGATTGGTAATGGTGCTTTTGCCAATTTATTAGAAGGATTAAAGTAAAGAAGATATACCATCAGCATAGATTTGTAAATTATGCCATCATAAGACTTAAGATAATTAAAATAATTTAAAGAGTCAAAAGGGTGCTGGCAGGTTTGCATGGTGGTGAGGGTGATGGCAGATCCAAAAAAAAAAACAAGACGCTTCTAAAACTGACTTTTAAAAAGAAAGATAATATATCACATAAGTCTGAAAAATGTAGAAAAGCAAAATAAAAAAAATTCTTAAATAATTCTTCTTCTTCTTCTTCTTATTATTATTTATTTATTTTTTTTTTGGAGAGAGTTTTCACTGTAGGGCGCGTGCACTCGCCCAACAGACAGAGAGAGACAGAAAGCGAGAAATCACCCCCCCGGGGGATGGTCACGCCGCAATCCCTTCTCCTCCATTCTCCTCTCGGGATCTTGGGCACGCACGCACACGCGCCCGGCGTGAGTTTTAAGCCACCGGGTCCGGGACACGAACCGTGGTCGACTACGTGGGAGTCCAGCGACATAGCCATTACACTAACTGCTGGTTCCCAATAATTCTTATTATTCAGGCATCTTTTTTTTCTTTTTTTAATGGCATAGGGCACATGTATGTGCTTGAAAGAGAGAGGAGAGAATGTCTCAGGGCCGAGTCACACTGCAATCCTTTTTCTTCCAATTTCCATCTCATAAAGATCCTGGGCATGTATGCCATACCTGGAATATGTTTCAAGCTGCCTGGGGTAGGACTCAAACTCTGGTCAGCATGTGGGATCCAACTTCCTCTGCATACTACCTAACTGTGGCACTAGGGGACCAGTTCTTTAGGCATACTTTTTTCATTTTTGCTTTTTTTTTTTTTAAAAAAAAAAGAATTATTTTTATTTAACTTTATTTATTTTAACTTGACCAGAGAGGAAGCGAGAGAGACAGAGACAGAGACAGAGAAAGTGAGAAAGCAAGCCACCAGGTCTGGGACTCAAATTATAGCCAGGCATGTGGGAGTCCAGTGTCCTTAATGACCAGGCCACCTGCTGACCTCCCCGGTTTTTACTTTTTAATTTTCATTTGTCGATATGAAAACATGTTTTTACACAATTAATATCAAGTTGTGCAATCGACTTTTACACCTGTAAATGTACATTTTCTTTTTCTTTTCTTTTTAGGTTTTTGCTATAGGGCACACCAGAAAGAGACAGAGAGAGCCAGAGAGAAAAAGAAGTGAGAAATCACCCCTCAGGTGGAATGGCCATGCTGCAATCCTTTCTCTTCCATTCTCTCCTTGGGATTTGGAGCAGGCATGCCCATGCACCCGGTGTGATTTTTAGACTGCTGGGTCTAGTGCTTGAAGAACCATGTAGTTGGCCATGTGGGCATCCAGTACCTTAACCACTGTGCCATCTGCTAGCCCTATAAGTGTGCTTTTTTATCTAACTTTTTTTCTTTTTTTTTTTGGTGAGGCATAATTGTAGATTCTATCATTGTTCCCAATATTTCATCTCTCTGTATCCCTATACCCTTTGTAATTTTTAACATTAGCGGGAGAGACATTTTACCACCCTTTGATGCGGACTTGGCCATGTGACTTTATTTAGCCAATGAAATTTTATTAAGCTGTGATGTGCAGAAAGGCTCTGTGCAAGCTTGTAGCAGAGTCTGCTCCTTGGGCTTCTGCCATGGGTAAACATGCCCTGGGTGACCCACAGTCACTTAGGAATGAGAGACATGGAAGCATATTTAAAATCACTTCATGTCCTGGAGCCAAGTTCAACCAATGTTAGTTAGATAAGGTAAAATCCAGCAGACCTGAAAAATGCATGAATGAGAAATGAATGCTTTATATTTTATGATTATTTCAAGGTTATTTTGTAGCCATGGCCGACTAGTGCAGGCATTTCCCCATGTTGTAGTATAGTCTTCAAAATCACACATTTTAATGGTTGCACAATATTCTAGCTAGATCATATGATGTTTCAACATAGGACTCCACCTAGGAGTCCCAGGTTCGAGTCTTGGTTCAACCTAAAGGTGACCACAGTGGCACCACACTTATAATCCCAGCGATTTGGGAAGTTGAGGCAGGATGATCATGTGCTTGAGACTGGTCTGGGCAGCACTACCAGACTCTGCCTAAAAAAGAGCTGGACACGGGCCACAGGTGGCGTGGTGGTTAGGGTGCTAGACTCCAACATGGCTGACCATGGTATGAGTCCTGGACTTGGCAGCTTGCTTTTCTTGCTCTCTCCCTCTGCTGCTCTCTGGTCAAATTAAAAAAAAAAAAAAAAGATGGTGATGAATAAAATTAAAATTAAAAAAAGAGCTGGACATGGTGGTGTCCCTGTATATGAATTACATAACCTTGGTTTTAGGTATTTTTTCTGATCACCTGAAACTGGTGTGGGATACCAACTCAGAGAAAAGAAAATATGCCTCTGACCATGCACTACATGGACTAGACACTTTCCTTTTAGGTTTTTCCAAAGGGCACATGTGCCTGCTGGAGAGAGGCAGAGAGAAGGGAAGTGAGAAATCACCCCCAGGGGGATGGTGACACTGCAATCTCTCTCGGGATTTTGGGCATGCATGCCCATGCCCTCAGGATCTTCTATCAAGCACCCATCTGTGGAAAGCAGCAGCCTCCACTGTAAGTGAAGTGGTTTATACTGATTCCTATAGTTAACACTGTCAGGACCTGGAAACACTGACCATTCTGGAAAAATCTG